TCTGCATGACCTGTGAGGACCACTCGACGTCGCCCTCCAAGCACTAGCCCCATGCCCGACGTACTGCACACGTAGCGCAACACCCTCTTCGCTGCAGCCATGTGCTCTGGTTTGTGTCTCCCAGGAGCAACATAGCGTGCCAATATGCTAAGAGGGTATGCAAGGTCAGGTCGTGTGCAGGTCATCAGGTACATAAGGCAGCCAACAAGCTCTGCATACGGGCCACTCGGCTCTACGGACTCATCCGAGGGCAGAGCTGAGAGCGAGTGGCGAGTAGACAAAGGAGTGGCCTGAGGCGAGGAGTACATGAAGTCGAAGCGCTGAAGGACCTGCTGCACCATGTGTGACTGAGTCAAGGTAATGGTGCGCTCTGCTCTACCCCGGGTGATCTGCAAGCCAAGGTAGCTGCGCAGTTCACCCAGGTCTGTGCAGGTGTGTCTCTTCTGCAGCTCGAACTTCATGTGGGCGAGTCCAACAATGTAAGTAGTGGCAAAGACCAAGTCCTCGACGTACACAAGGATGTAGAGCGGCGGCAAAGAGGTGTCGGTGCGCAGAAACCGCGACGGGTCGGCTGTAGAAGGAGCAAACCCAAGAGCCACAAGAGTAGTCCTCAGTGTGTCGTTCCACTCACGGGGCGCCTGGCGGAGATCGTAGACTTGCCGCCGGAGGCTCCACTAGGTACTAGGAGGAAACGACCTAGTGAAGCCAGGTGGGCGGCGCAACCAGATCTCCCTACAGGAAAGCTGTGCTGAAGTCAAGAGAGTGAAGCTCGTAGTCGCGCTGAGCGGCTATGTGCAGCAGCACCCAAAGAGTGGTCATCTTCGGGGTGGTTGAGAAGATCTGAAAGTAGTCAACTCCCTGCCGCTGATTGAAGCCTCGAGCCATGTAACGCGCCTTGAAGACAGGCGGAGAACCCGGCGGCCGCTTCACCCTGAAAATCCACATGCCACTGACGATGTTCGGCCCCAGGTGGGGGAACCTCGTCGACGTAGGTGCCTGTGGACTTCCAGGAAGCCATCTCTGCATCCATGGCTGACTGCCATTGAAAGGAGTAGGGACCCTCGATCGCCTCAGCGTACGATCGAGGAGTCGGGATGTCTCAGACTCAGCAACGAGACTTACAGCGTAGTCTAGACGACAGCGAGCAGCGAAGTTGACAAGCTCAGCAACTAGGGCAGACGCAGCAGTGGACTCAAAGGAAGGGTCAGTGACAACAGTAGCAAGAAGGCGCGTGACCGAAGGACTAGCAGCACGAAGGGAGTCAGACTCCGGGTCAGCAAGAGAAAGAAGAGAAGACTCTGGAGGAGACGGCAACGGGACACGCAGAGGAGCAGTGGAAGGACGCAGTGCCATCTGGTGTGTGCCGGGGACCATAGGAGGACGCGGATGCGCAGCACGACGACTAGTGCGAGCAGCACAAACAGGCGACGCAGGACGAGACGCAGGCTCACGACGCTCAGCAAGACCTCGAGTAGGACCAGTGTAGGGAGAAGGAGCAGGTAGAGGGGAGGCAGGCTGTAACTGTGACTGCGACTGGACAGGCTATGGACACTCTAAGGGAGGAGCAGGACGAGGAGAGGGTGGGAGACCAAGAACCTGCTCGAGGAGCGGAACGAAGTACGGCCTCGGTCGCTCAGCGCCTCCAGAACCAGCAAGGACGGCATCAGTACCCCCAGCGGCAGCACCAGCGCCAGTAGCACCTCCAGCTCCACCAGCGCCAACTCCAGCACCCTGAGAAGCACCAGGGCGAGCACCACCACCAGCGCCAACACCCCCAGCAGCTCCAGCTCCAGCAGCACCAGCACCGCCAGCAGCTGTAGCAGAACAAACTCCAGTAGCCCCAGCAGCACCCCCAGACCCAGCAGCTCGAGGACCACCAGTACGAGCACCTCTGGGACCTGCAGCAATAGTAGCACCTCCAGCTCCAGCAGCACGTCTCCAGCGGCGGGCAAACCATTCGCGCAGCTACTGTGGGGACAGTGGCTCCCGCCTCGACGAAGCACCGCCGGCGGCCACACGAGCAGACCCAGCGCCCCCATGCTTCGCACCCCCAGGCTCCGCACTCCCAGACCTAGAACCCTCAAGCTCACCACCCCCAGTCTTAGCACGCCCAGGCTCAGCACCTCCAGACCCGGCACCCGCAGGCTCAGCACCTCTAGCAGCACTAGAGTCAGCAGCTACCTCGATAGGCTCGACTGCGTCTACCTGGGACACACCTGACGGGGCAGGACCGTGAGGGGGGAGGGGGTCTACCGGGGGAGGACCTGGCGCAAGGAAGATCGGCGGCGGGGGGAGGGGCGCAGTGCGGTAGGGGAAGAGACGGTAGTAAGGCACCGACTCGTCAAAGGTTACGTCCTGGGAGGACAGAACACGGCGCGAGGTGGGGTGGTAAAACTGCCACCCAGGCGCGTCAGGGAGGAAGCCAAGGAAGACGCAGGGAACAGCACGGGGGGACAGCTTGTCCGCAGACAACTTGCGGACAAACGTCCGAGAGCCCCAGATACGAAACGCAGACGCATCGCCAACCTTCCTGGTCCAACGCAAGGCGGGGGAGGTCTCTGGCAAGGAGACGCGGGGCTGAAGGTTGAGCTGATGCGCGGCATACTGAACCGCAAACGGCCACAGAAAATGGGGGGTAGCCGCATCCATCATGGACGTACGAGCGACGTCCATGACCATGCCAATGCGGCGCTCAGCAATCCCATTTTCCTGTGGAGAGGTCGGAAGCGTGAAGGTCTGGCGGATGCCCTGTGCACGACAGAAAGCTCCCAGAAGGGCAGAGGAAAACTCCCCGCCTCTGTCCAAGTGCAGACGCGGAACAGGAAAGTCTGAGCCGAAACTCTCTCTGAGCTGGAGACGAGCTGCGCGGATCCAGTCGATCAACACCTCAGTGACGTCACCCTTGCTACGCAAGGGGAAGACTGTGGTGTAATGCGAGTAGTCATCAACCACCAACAGGAAGTACCGCTCGCGCCCGTGCCCACTGACGCGGGCTGGGCCCCACACGTCCATGTGGAGAGTCTGCAGCGGAGCCTCTGTCGGAGGAAACTCGAAGGAGTGAGGGGCGGCGCGCTGTCGCCCCTCGACGCAGGGGACGCAGGTAGGGCCAGGCCCCGGAGGTAGGGGAGGGAGAGACCGGGGGAGACCAGAGACAAGGACACGGGAGGCCATGCCTCAGAGACGAGGCAAGGAGGGGTGACCAAGGCGGTGGTGCCAAAGGAGAGTCTGGTGGGACAGCAGACGACACGAGCAGGGAGCAGACTCAGGACCAGACCTGGACGCTGCAGCAAACACCTGACTCGACACAGCTACCTGGGTAGACTTGTGAAAATAAGAAGGAAGAAAGAGAGGGTTGAACTAGCAAGAATGAGGATACAAATAGCAAACCCTAGAAGGGTTGTACTCGCTATAGAGCACCCCACTACAGGCTAGAACAATAAGATAATATTCTGACACACCCCCATAGCCAAAGTGGGGTGTAATCAGCAGAGCAGGCAAAGCAAAACAAGCTCAGGGTGGATCACAATGTCACCACACATTCTGAGCACAAGTTCAAGAAGAAATAGTTTAGAGTTAACAATTATATGCAAAGCTAGTGGTAGTCACAACGGGCAAGTGAGGAGGAGGAGGGAGAGTGAGGGGAGAGGAGACAGAAGGCGACGGCTGAAGCTGCAGACACACGGGCAACAGGAGGCAGACTGGCACAGCGGCTACCGGACAGCGCCCGGACTACAGGAGTAACAGGCCCCGCGGCTCAAATAGCGGCGGACGGGCAACGGACCCACGGGCGGCTGGCACAGCTGGCTACGACTGGGCTACCGGGACAGCGCCCCGGACTACAGGTGCTGCTGACGACAAACTGGCAACCTCCGCTCATCCTCCCACACACAGTCCCACCCCCCTGATACACACCCACTGCTACACCACTAGCTCTACTCCCACGCACCCCCCTTAAACCCTAAACCCAGTCTCCCACACAACCACCCCCCTCAGCGACAGCTGCAGCAGTGGGAGACGAAGGAGGAGGAGGAGAAAGGGAGGAAGGCACACCGGCCACCCCCATACCCGCCACCCCACAGCTCGCCCCTCAGGTCGCCACGACGGGCGACGGGAAATGGCAGGGGGGGGGGGGGGGGGGGGGGGGGGGGGGGGGGAGGGGCCCACCACGGACCTGAGGGGAGGGCGGGGCCGCGACAAGGGGCGGGGCCGCGACGAGCGGGGCGGGGCCGCGACGTAGGGGGGGAACCGCGACGTAGGACGGGGCCGCGACGGTCGGTTGGGGCCGCGACAGGTCGGGGCCGCGAAGGGTCTGGGGCGGGGCCGCGACGGTCGGGGCGGGGCCGCGACGTAGGGCGGGGCCGCTTCGAGGGGCGGGGCCGCGACGCGGGGGCGGGGCCGCGACGAGGGGCGGGGCCGCGACGGTCGGGGCGGGGCCGCGACGTAGGGCAGGGCCGCTTCGTAGGGCGGGGCCGCGACATAGGGCGGGGCCAAGCCGGGCAGGCGCACGGGCGGCGACGGGCCGGGGCGGGACCGCGACGAAGGGCGGGGCCGAGCCGGGCAGGCGCACGGGCGGCGACGGGCCGGGGCGGGGCCGCGACGTAGAGCGGGGCCGCGAAGGTAGGGCGGGGCCGCAACGGTCGGGGCGGGGCCGCGACGAAGGGGAGAAGCCCGCCGCGCGCCTAGGGGCGCACAGCGGGCAATGAACCGCCGCGCGCCTCGGGGCGCACGGCGGGCAGAAAACCGCCGCGCGCCTCGGGGCGCACGGCGGGAGGAAAAATTAGCAGCGGAAGCAAGGTGGGGACACACCCACAGGATCGATCCAAGGGGATCGACCTGCTCTGATAGCATGTCAAAGTTTGAAGGAAGAAAGAGAGGGTTGAACTAGCAAGAATGAGGATACAAATAGCAAACCCTAGAAGGGTTGTACTCGCTATAGAGCACCCCACTACAGGCTAGAACAATAAGATAATATTCTGACAAGACTGTGCAGCTGGAGGAGACTAAGTAGTAAGGGTGTACAGGCTCGACCCTGGCCGACGGGTGAACGTGGCCAAGTGTCGGCCTGTCCGAGCATACGTGCAGTGGGTCACTCGCTGACTCGCATGAGTGAACAGGTCAACCCCCCTATCCTGTAGGTCCGCTCCACTCACCAAGTTCGTAGAGAACGAGGGGAGGTAGAGACCTGACAGGGTGCCAGAGGGGGCTGCTGGGCACGGTAAGACAGTGGAGAAGCTAGCAAGGACAGGACCCCCAGAGGGGTGTGCCAGGGAGACTGCAACCGGCCGACTGAGCGGCGTAAGAGTGGTGCGGTCTCGAAAGAAGGAGCGGGACGCACCCAAGTCAAGGGTGCAGGTGTGGAAGGCCTGAGCCGACGTAGTACCTGAGAGAGCAGACACACCAGCACCTGGGGCAGCAGACGCACTGGCACCTGGGGCAGCAGACGCACTGGCACCTAAGGCAGCAGACGCACTAGCACCTAGAGCAGCAGCCTCACCAGCACCTAGAGCAGTGGCCTCAATGCCCGGGCCATGCGGTACACACAGGTAACAGTCACCCTCAATACTAGTAGTCACAGAATACCTGGCAGGAAGGATAGCATCATAGTCAAGATCAAAGATGGCAACCCCCGCCCTAGACGGATCTCCCCAGCGAGGGATCTCTAACGCCTCATGGAACTGGTGACGCCACGCGTCCGTCAGGCGACTGAAGCAGCGCTGGGTGGAGTGCGGGCCCCCGCACTGCTCACCAGCTCGGTCGCCGGTACGGATGACGTAAGTGCAGGGACCAAAACCCCCACCGCGGTGACGCGCAGTGTACCAGTCACGAAGCTGTTGAGGGGACAGGGTCACACCACTCCGCTCCTGCTGGCGCGGACCACCACGTGAGCCACTCCTCTGCGCAGAGTCGCGACCCGCTCCAACGCCGCCACCGCCCCCGCCGCCTCCGCCGCCTCCTCCACCTCCGCCTCCTCCGCCACCTCCGCCTCCTCCGCTCCCTCCGCCACCACCACCGCCTCCGCCGCCTCCACTGCTGCCGCCGCCGCCGCCACCCCCGGCACCACTCCCACCACCACCCCCACTCCCTCCACTGCCTCCACCACCACCTCCACCGCCCCCGCCAACCCCTCCAGCGCCCTTGCCCCCCTTGCCCTTGCCGGTGCGGCGTCTCCCGCTCAGGGTAGACGTAGCGCCGACCGACTCGAAACCAACAAGGTCGGCCGCAGCAGTAGAGGCAATAGAGGACAAGAGGGGGGAGGGAGAACACCCCTCAAAGACGGGGGTGCGAGGGTCACCACGAGAGGCTCCTACAGCGACTATGCTCTTCTCTACCGCTAGGAGGGCCTTCTCGAGGAGGTCAACGGTGAGAGTGGTGGGGCAAATTGAGAGGAAGTGGTCCCTGACTTCGCGGAGAGAGTCAGGGAGCCGGGTGACTATGTAGTAGAGGGTGACGTACATGGGGGGGGGGGGTTCTTGGTGCAGAACTCAGCAGGAAGCGTAGCGCGGTAGCGAGTGTCAGTAGTGCGGAAGTGCGTAATGAGGTCAGCGACTGTGGGAAAGGCAGCAAGGTCAGGAAAGAGGTACGGTAGCATGAGGCGGCTCAGTGCAGCAGTGGCAGGGGAAGAGTAGCATGCAACTACAGCGTCGTACAAGGTCTGAGCACTCTTGTACTGGCTAAAGTGTGCACATTCAGTGGTCGGTAAGTGGCGGCTCACAGCAAGGCGAGCAGCAGCATCGCGCGTGGCCCACTGTAAGCGAACAGTGGCGTCAGCATCAGCAGGAGGGGCAGGAGAGGCATTAGAAGTGAGTGTCAGTAGAGCTACACTGTGAGATCCCCGATCGATCCTAGGGGGGGTTACAGGCGCGTTTGCCTGGGGGGTTATGGGCGCACTGACCCGCTACTGAAACAAGCCCTTTTATCCCAATGGTCTAGTGGTTGGGATTCTGACAGTGAGGTCAAATTGGGAGAGACCGTCTACCCTATCGCACTATAGGAAAAGCTGCAGATCATCTACCCAGACCTCAAAGTCAACTGCCCGGCCCTCAGCGTCAAAGGTGAGAACACTAGGGGAGGCCATGACAGTAGTAGACAGGGAGTGAGTATAGTGGGGCAGAGCAGTGCAGTGGCAGAGACGCTGCTCTTACCAGGCAAGTGGGGCGGTCCCGGGCAGGCCGACGGGCGGCAACGCCTCGGTTGCGATGCGGCTCGGCGGCTCGGCTGCTGGGCGGCTCGGCGGTCGGGCGGCTCGGCTGCATGGCGGCTCGGCTGCTGGGTGGCTCGGCTGCAGGGCGGCTCGGCGGTCGGGCGGCTCGGCTGCTCGGCGGCTCGGCTGCTCGGCGGCTCGGCTGCTCGGCGGCTCGGCTGTCGGGCGGCTCGGCTGCTCGGCGGTTCGGCTGCTCGGCGGCTGGGCTGCTCGGCGGCTCGGGCGCTGGGCGGCTGAGGGGCGACAGGGCTCTGGAAGGGCGGCGACGGGGCCACTGAAAGGGCGGCAACGAGCCGCTGAAAGGGCGGCGACGGGCCGCGAAAGGGGGGCGACTGGGCCGCGGAAGGGGTGGGCAACGGGGCCGCTGCAGGGCGGCGACGGGGCCGCTGCAGGGCGGCGACGGGGCCGCTGGAGGGCGGCGACGGGGCCGCGGAAGGGCGGTTTCGGGGCCGCGGAAGGGCGGCGACGGGGCCGTTATAAGGGCGGGCGGCGAGGCCGTGGAAGGGCGGCAACGGGCCTGCTGAAAGGGCGGCGCCGGGGCCGCTGAAAGGGCGGCGACGAGGCCGCAGGAAGGGGCGGCGACGGGGCCGCTGAAAGGGCGGCGCGACGGGGCCGCAAGGGCGGCGCGACGGTGCCGCAAGGGCGGCGCGACGGGGCCGCAAGGGCGGCGCGACGGGGCCGTTATGGGCCGTAAAAGGGGCCGCTAGAGGCCGCTAGAGGGGGAAAGACACGTGGCGCGACTCGGGCAGGGGCCAAGCGCGCTCCGGGCAGGAAAAAAAAAATCGGTGGGCCCTAGGAACAGTTCCCACGAGGGAACCAGCTCTATACCATGTGAAAGTTAGAACGAGAGAATGGATTAACTATGAAAGAGTTGGGTACAAGTACTGACCCTAATTGGGTTGTACCCCTTATGGGCTACCCCACTACAGCCTACACAAATGCATAAGCTATAATGTTCTGACACGGGCTCGCTAACGAAAAACGCAACAGCGCGAAGTTGACTTGACAGGGGGGCTCGGGAACACCTGTTGTCTGTGCGCTGCGAGCGAGCGACTGCAGGCTATTGGTCGTACACTGGGGCAAGCCTGTGCGATGCGAACGAGCGACTGCAAGCTATTGGTTCGTACCAGGGGTTTTTTTAGCAGAGTAAATTACTCTGTTTCTCTGAAAATCAGAGTGGTTTTTAGGGGGTCACTCTGACGTGTGTTGGGCTGAGTATTTCAGCCTTAGGATTTTTGCAGAGAATAGGCTAATAGGTGCTAGAGTAGCACAGCGGAAGTCTTTGAGTGAGTGTACTTGTGCTAGTATGTGAGAACAAGTAATTGATTAAAGCAAAGAGCATACAGGAATATATAGGAAAGGATAGATTACAGGAAGCGGTTATGTTTATCGAGACCCGTAACGCTTCGACTATCGAGGCGGTTACTGTTCACTGAAGCGTCGCTTGCTGTTACGTAACCTCCAGGCGGTTACATCTCGCAACTTCCAGTTGCGGTTGAATGTGGTACACGCCTTTTTGACTTCATACTCCTTTTGTTGTGCTTCAGTATCGGGTGAGGTTCGATACTGCAGAAACGCACTAAGTCATGCATTTATATTCCCAACACTCCCCTTCGTTTCTGGAGTGTCGACGTGGTCAGCTTCGGTGACGTGGCCCAATCCGGTGAGCTGCATGCAGTACTCGAATTTCCCCTTTAGCAGCTTCTTGGTGAGATAATCTGCTGTCATCTCAGTGGTCGGGCAGTAGTCCAGCTGGAGTTTTCCCTTCTCAATTTCGTCTTTCACGAAGAAGTATCGTAGTGCGATATGCTTGGTCCTGTTGGCGAAACCGTTCTTGTTCGCGATCCGTATCGCGGACTGGTTGTCGCAGAAAAGTGAGAAGCTGGGTACTTTCGCAATTTTCGCTTCTTCCAGCAGTTCGCGCAGGTACAGACCTTCCTTGGTAGCGGTGCAGAGAGCAATATACTCTGCTTCAGCAGATGATAGTGCGACGAGTTCCTGCTTACTTGATTGCCAGGAGATAGTTCCGACGGGCTCGAGACGGTAGACGTAACCGGTGCGGGAGCGACGATCAACACGATCAGCAGCGTGATCAGCGTCGACGTAGCCGAGTAGTTTTAGGTCAGTCGTTGCGCTCTTGTGATACGTTAGGCCAACTGTTGGCGTCGAGATGAAGTAGAGAAGAGCACGGTTGAGTTCCTTGAGATGACGTTCTTCTGGGCGCTTGAGGTAGGTCGCTAGTTGGCTGGCGCTGTAGGATAAGTCCGGTCGGCACGTAACGGCGGCAAAGAGTAGGCAGCCCAGTTTCTGTTGATATTCCTGGATTCCGGCAGACGGCAGTAGGTTGGTTTCTTCGGTTGGGTCGGGCGATAGGTGACTGTAGGGTGTTGCGACGTGCGTTGGTGTGATGCAGAAGCGTTCGGCGATAGTGCTTGCGTATTTTGAGGCGCTGAGACGAATGGCGTTGTCTTCGTCGAGGATGTTGAGCCCTAGGTACTGCGTGACGTTGGGTGAGACTGTGAGGGAGAGATCTGTCTGAAGTTCCTTCTCGAACCAGGTGACGATGGTGATAGTTGACCCGATGTAAAGTAAATCGTCGACGTAGACGATTAACAGGACGTAGTCGTTGTCGTGAGTGAGGCGATACATGCCCTGGTCGTGGGGCAGTTGGTTGAATCCGATGCGCTTGAGTCGTGCGTGCAGGTACTGCTGCCAGATTCGCGGTGCCTGCTTAATTCCGTACAGTGATTTAAGTAGTTGGCAGACGAGGGAAGGGTCGTCGACGAACCCGTGGGGCTGTTCGACGAAGATTTCAGCGTCGACTGGGGCGTACAGAAAAGCGTTGGCGACGTCAATTTTTCGGAGTGGGCGGCGACGTGAGGCGGCGATGGCGAGGAGAATGCGTAGAGAGGTGTGTCGACTGACTGGTGCAAAGGTTTCAGTGAAGTCGCGACCATATTCTTGGTCGAATCCGCGGACGACCCATCGAGCTTTAAATCGTTCGATGGTTCCGTCGGAGTTGGTTTTGATCCGGAATACCCATTTTCCGGAGAGGATGGGTCTGTCTTGTGCGAGTGATGCAGGGACAATCTTCCAGGTGTTGCGGTTTGAAAGAGCTTTTAACTCCTTTTCCATGGCTTCGCGCCATTTTTCTTTGTGTTCCCCCCCTAGAGCCTTCTTGACAGAGCGAGGCTCTTCAGGTGGCGTCGAAGTCCCGTGCACTGCAGCGATGAGTCCCAGGACTTGGAGCCCGCTGGGTGTGTGACGGTTGAGCAAGGGATCCTCGGGATAGACTGCTTCGTCTCCCGCTTCAGGATCACGTGCGAATCCGGGGCCGTATCGTTCTGAAGTGTCGGTGTTGACGGGTTGGGGTGTTACGTAACCAGTGTCGGCGAAATGGTAGTAGACGTCGGCATTGTTGCTGTCCCGAGGATTTTCTTCGTCCATGGGGATTGGGACGGAGCAGTAAGGAAGGGGTCCAGCAGCTTCGGAGGCGTTGTCGACGTTTTCTTCTTCCCAGTCAGCAGCGTCGGAGGGTGAAACGAAGGCTCGGGAGCCAGAAAATCCGCCGGTGGGGTCGACGTGGCGTGCGATGTTGTCCAGGTAATGGTTGAGGGTGAGTCGCTCGTAGAAGATAACGTCACGTGCTGCTACCATTTCCTTTGTGTGGACGTCGAAGATCCGCCAGGCTTTGTAATGTTTTGCCAGACCGAGGTGTAGACCCCACTGTGCACGTTGCGAAAATCTCCCTGCGCGTGCAGTGTGTGGGCGGTACTGTACCATACACCCAAAAACTCTTAACATTTTTGTGTTGCCCAGCTTCCCAGTCCACAACAGGTGCGGTGATGCGTTGTTGGGCAGTGACGACGAGGACAGCAAGTTGTGCAGGAGGACAGCGTGGTCCATCGCTGCTGACCATTCTGAGTTGGGCAGTCGAGTCCCACGTAGCAGCTTTCGCATGGTTGTCTGCAGGGTCCTGTTCATCCTTTCTGCCACACCCTGCTGTTGGTGAGCGTAAGGAAGAGAGATGAGGCGTTTGATGCCTCTTTCTGCCAAGAACTGCGTGAAGTGGTTGGACTGGTACTCCTTTGCGCCATCTGACTGAAAACTCTTCAGTTTCGCTCCCGACTCTTTTTCAGCTACAGGTAGCCAGGCTGTGAAGGCTTCTAGAGCCATGTCTCGTGACGGTAAGTTGACGTGCCAGACGTATCGTGTTGCGGCGTCGATGAAGGTGATGACGTAGTTTAGATCTGCACGTCCTTCAGTTCGAGGTATGTAAAGGATGTCGCTGTAGACTTTCTCGAGTGGTTGATAAACTGGGGCGCTCGGGTTGTGATGTGACGGGAACGGTGTCAGAATAATATATAAATCTATATATTGTTTTGTAATTGCCTGTAGTGTAGACTAGTGTAGTTATATAATGTTCTGTTTTGGTGGTGCACCTTTCATTTTGCCTATATGTACTGCTCGCTCTATAGTGAAACTCCTTCTTCTCTTTTCAACTCTCTCGACTCTCCTAAACTTACTCGAACTCAACTAGCTATGGCTCCTTAGCCTAGCTTATGCTTTGACATGGAATCGGAGCTTTTTACGACCTGGCCTGTGGGCCCGCCTTACGCTTCCGCTATGATTTTTCGGTCGCGCGCCTAGGGCGCGTGACGATTTTTACTTAGTCCCGCCCACGGGTGTGTGGCTCCTACTCTGCCCGTCGCGCGCCCCGTGGCACGCGACGGTGCTCTTCATCTGCCCATCGTGCGCCCCGTGGCACACGATGGTGCCCTGCTCGTCGTGCGCCCCTAGGCGCACGATCGGGCCCTTTTTCTTCTTCTACCCGTCGTGCGCCCCGTGGCACTGGCACGCGACGGGCCTTTCCGCCCCTGCTCTCCCTGATGCCGCCCCTGACCCATCTGCACCGACACCTTTTCGCCGCTCTGCGGCTTTCTTCCTTCCCACCCCCTTCTTCCTTTGTCTCCCTGCAGCCGTGGGGAGGAGGGTATGGGGGTGGAGGGTGTTGGAGTGTTGGGTCACCTCTCTCCCTTCCCCTCCTCCTCCTTTCAGTCCCACCGCTGCAGCTGCCGCTGGGGGGGGAGGGTGTGAGGATGTGGGGGAGCAGGGGGAGTGGTACCGGGGTGGCGGGTGTGAGGCAACATGCAGCCGTCCCTCCACCACTCCTCACTTCCCCCCCTTCTCTGCTGCTCTGCAGCAGTGTGGGGGAGGGGAAGGAGGAGGGTGAGGAGATGGAAGGGGTACCTGCTGTTGCTTGCTATGCTGTAACTACATATCTACCTACAAGCATTATGGGGGCGTATCGAAATATATTGTCATGTTTTATAACTGCTTGTAGTTGTAGTTAGTGTAGTTATTTAAATTGTTGTTGGTGGTGCACCTTATTTGGTTTCTATGCTATATGTACCTTTGAACCTATAGTGAAACCACCTCTTTTCTCCAATTGCTCTCCCAACTCCCTCGACACCTCGCCTAGGGCAAAACCCGCTCGATACCTAAGTACGGGCCTAGGCTACTAAGCCTAGGCCCTTCCTTTCAACTTAGCCTATTATTTTGACATGGTACAGAGCACGTAACGCTCCTGGACTCCTGCTTCCGCTGCTACTAAGTGTTCTGCACGCCCCGTGGTGTGCCCTACTGTCGCGGCCCCGCCGCCCTACTGTCGCGGCCCCGCCGCCCTGCCTTTTTTTTTGGCCCCGCGGCCCTACTGTCGCGGCCCTGCCACCCTACTTCGCGGCCCAGCCGCCCTACTCTGCGGCCTCGCCGCCCTACTCCTTCGGCCTCGCCGCCCTTCACTGCGGCCCCGCCGCCCTTACTACGGCCCCGTTGCCCACTTGCGGCCCGGCCCCGTTTTTTTTTTTTTTTTTTTTTTTTTTTTTTTTTTTTTTTTTTTTTTTTTTTTTTTTTTTTAACCAGTCGCCGCCCTCAGCTGCGGCCCTGTTGCCGCTCTCACCTGCGGCCCGTCGCCGCCCTCTGTTGCGGCCCCGTCACCGCCCTCACCAGCGGCCTCGCCGCCCTCTGTTGCGGCCCCGTCGCCGCCCTTGGCCCCGGCCCTGATGTCACCTGCGGCCCCGCCAACTGAGGCCCCGTCGCCACCTGCGGCCCCGCCCAACCTTGCGGCCCCGTCGCCCACTTGCAGCCCGGCCCCGTCACCTACCAGCGGCCACCGACCAGTCGCCGCCCTCAGCTGCGGCCCTGTTGCCGCTCTCACCTGCGGCCCGTCGCCGCCCTCTGTTGCGGCCCCGTCGCCGCCCTCACCAGCGGCCTCGCCGCCCTCACCAGCGGCCTCGCCGCCCTCTGTTGCGGCCCCGTCGCCGCCCTTGGCCCCGGCCCTGATGTCACCTGCGGCCCCTCCAACTGAGGCCCCGTCGCCACCTGCGGCCCCACCCAACCTTGCGGCCCCGTCGCCCACTTGCAGCCCGGCCCCGTCACCTACCAGCGGCCACCGACCAGTCGCCGCCCTCAGCTGCGGCCCTGTTGTCGCTCTCACCTGCGGCCCGTCGCCGCCCTCTGTTGCGGCCCCGTCGCCGCCCTCACCAGCGGCCTCGCCGCCCTCTGTTGCGGCCCCGTCGCCGCCCTTGGCCCCGGCCCCGATGTCACCTGCGGCCCCGCCAACTGAGGCCCCGTCGCCACCTGCGGCCCCGCCCAACCTTGCGGCCCCGTCGCCCACTTGCGGCCCGGCCCCGTCACCTACCAGCGGCCACCGACCAGTCGCCGCCCTCAGCTGCGGCCCTGTTGCCGCTCTCACCTGCGGCCCGTCGCCGCCCTCTGTTGCGGCCCCGTCGCCGCCCTCACCAGCGGCCTCGCCGCCCTCTGTTGCGGCCCCGTCGCCGCCCTTGGCCCCGGCCCCGATGTCACCTGCAGCCCCGCCAACTGAGGCCCCGTCGCCACCTGCGGCCCCGCCCAACCTTGCGGCCCCGTCGCCCACTTGCGGTCCCGCCCCCAACCTTCTTCCCGTCACCTGTCGCGGCTCCTTCGGGGGGGCGACCTGAAAGGGGGGGGGAGTCGTCGCCCCCTCTGCCGCTTGCTTTGGCGCCCGGGGAGGCCGTGCGTCGCCCCCCCCCCCCCCCCCCTTCCCCCCCCCCTTTCTCCTCCTCCTTTTGTTCCCTCTGCTGCAGCTGCCGCTGGGGGGGAGGGTGTGAGAGTGTGGGGAGCCCGGGGAGGGACTGGGGGTGGCGGGTGTGGGGGTGATGGGTGAGTGTGGTCCCCTGGCCCTACGGCTCCATTCTCCTCCGTTTGTCCCCCCCTCTGCTGCTCCTGCAGCAGGGGGAGGGGGAGGGGGAGGATGAGGGGATGTATGTGGTGACCAACCAGAGCCTATCACCTCCTCTCCTCTCTCTCCCTCTCTCTCTCTCCCTCTCTCCTCCTCCTTGCCTGCCCTCTCCCGTACTGCTACGCACTCTTGGTGTACCCCATTATGGGGGCGTTGACTGCATATTCTTCCCTACAGGCACTTATGGGGGCGTGTCAGAATAATATATAAATCTATATATTGTTTTGTAATTGCCTGTAGTGTAGACTAGTGTAGTTATATAATGTTCTGTTTTGGTGGTGCACCTTTCATTTTGCCTATATGTACTGATCACTCTATAGTGAAACTCCTTCTTCTCTTTTCAACTCTCTCGACTCTCCTAAACTTACTCGAACTCAACTAGCTATGGCTCCTTAGCCTAGCTTATGCTTTGACAAACGGTTGGTGAGGCAGATCTGCTTCCGGGCAGATGAAGCAAGTACCGCGTGGTCGTTCGAGTTCTCGTCCGTTGGGAAGCAGTAGGGCGTTCTTGTCTAACACTCCTGCTCGTATTGTGTTGTAAAGCGTTTTGTTTCCAGGATGTCCAAGACGTTGATGCCATATGTCTTCGGAGGCGCTGTGACCGACGGAGCGTTGATAGAAGTCTGCGTTGGCGAAGAAGGCAGCGTGTGTTGCTGCACTTCGATGAACGGCGCGTGGTGCTTGTTAAAATTAGAAGGAAGAAAGAGGATTGAAAGGGGGGGGGGGGGACGGGGCCGGGGCCGCGACGAGGGGCGGGGCCGCGACGGTCGGGGCGGGGCCGCGACATAGGGCGGGGCCACGACGTAGGGCGGGGCCGCGACGTAGGGCGGGGCCGCGAAGGGCAGGCGCACGGGCGGCGACGGGCCGGGGCGGGGCCGCGACGAAGGGCGGGGCCGAGCCGGGCAGGCGCACGGGCGGCGACGGGCCGGGGCGGGGCCGCGACGAAGGGCGGGGCCGAGCCGGGCAGGCGCACGGGCGGCGACGGGTCGGGGCGGGGCCGCGACGTAGAGCGGGGCCGCGTCGAGGGGCGGGGCCGCGAAGATCGGGGCGGGGCCGCGACGTAGGGGAGAAGCCCGCCGCGCGCCTCGGGGCGCACAGCGGGCAATGAACCGCCGCGCGCCTCGGGGCGCACGGCGGGCAGAAAACCGCCGCGCGCCTCGGGGCGCACGGCGGGAGGAAAAAGTAGCAGCGGAAGCGAGGTGGTAACCCACCCACAGGATCGATCCAAGGGGATCGACCTGCTCAGATAGCATGTTAAAATTAGAAGGAAGAAAGAGGATTGAACTAGCAAGAATGAGGATACAAATAGCAAACCCTAAAAGGGTTGTACTCGCTATAGAGCACCCCACTACAGGCTAGAACAATAAGATAATATTCTGACAGTGCTGGCGTTAACAGCTGGGCGGCTGTCGGTGGCGTATCGATGATGAGAGGTGGTGGCGCGACGGAAGGTCCGGGCTGTGGAGTTCGGGAGGTTGTTCCGCGACGACGGTTGGTTCTTCAACTGCAGGTTCGGTGGTTGTTGGTGCTGTGCTTGTACTTGCAGGACCTCTTCGGTGTCTCGTTTGATGGTGGGAAGAGGAGTCGCTGGATGGCGGGGCGGCATGAACGTGAAGGAACCAGGTGAGACCGAATTTGGTGTTTGTTGATTGTGTCGTCCGAACGATGAGTTGTCAATACTCATCGGTGCCGCTCCGTTGTTTACGCTGTTGCTGTTTGCAGGTTGTGAGGACTGCTGCTACGACATGAAGTTAAAGAACTCCTCCATTAAGCTTGGATTGAAGATTGTTGGCGGCGCTACTGGCGCTTGAATAGAACGTTCCGTCGCTTCCGGCGTTAATCCGGGCGTTGTTCCTCCTTCGGTCTGCAGCTCGGAGACCGGGGGTAGAGTAGATCCCGTAGATGATCTTCTTTCCTTGCCACTTGCCATGTCTTGTTTTTCTTGAATGAAGATTGAACTTCTTGGTTGCTTGCAGATTGGTAGCCTGGAAGAGACTTAGTGATGAGAGCCTTTGTTCTCTGATTGCTCTCATACCATGTTGGGCTGAGTATTTCAGCCTTAGGATCTTTGCAGAGAATAGGCTAATAGGTGCTAGAGTAGCACAGCGGAAGTCTTTGAGTGAATGTACTTGTGCTAGTATGTGAGAACAAGTAATTGATTAAAGCAAAGAGCATACAGGAATATATAGGAAAGGATAGATTACAGGAAGCGGTTATGTTTATCGAGACCCGTAACGCTTCGACTATCGAGGCGGTTACTGTTCACTGAAGCGTCGCTTGCTGTTACGTAACCTCCAGGCGGTTACATCTCGCAACCTCCAGTTGCGGTTGAATGTGGTACGCGCCTTTTCGACTTCATACTCCTTTTGTTGTGCTTCAGTATCGGGTGAGGTTCGATACTGCAGAAACGCACTAAGTCATGCATTTATATTCCCAACAACGTGTCTGGGTAATTTTTTTGGAGGACAAGTTTTCTCTGATTTGTCAGGGTTATGATTTTAGCTACTCTGAGAGACCAGTGTATATATGTGACCGATATACTTTTCTCTGTACATGGTATACGCATTTCACCGTGTCACAATCCCCCCCCGCCCCCCCCCCCCTCCCCCCCCCCCCCAATTGTTGGAAGATGGGCAGGCTAAATGGATATATAAAACTCAGTAACCCAACAAAGTGGTGCGCGCATAGCACAACTTTACTCCTTTTGGTAGGAATGCAGAGGACCTGGGTTCAATACTTGAGAGGACACTCAGAGTTGGAAAAATAGGTGCCCAGAGTAGATTTTCAGAAGTTAAGTTTTCTCTGACAAATCAGAGTAACGCTCATAATGATCCCTGAATTTCAGAGTTCTCTAGAAAACAGCTCTGGAAATCCGAGTAGTGAAAATCCAAAAAAAAGCCCTGGTTCGTACACTCTGCTGGGGCGAGCATGACATAAGGTATTCCTATGCGAAAGTGACGTGTCCTTGCCCTTGTGCGCCGGCAGAGAATCGCTCTCGCGCGATTCTGATTCAGAACGCTCCACACAGTTCGATTTGAATGAAATTGCAAGACTCTAATGCACAGTTTGGTGCGTTAATAACATGACTGTGTTTGTTATTATATCAGCGCATGCGCTTATAATTTTGACTCATTTATGAGCGCACCCCCCTAAAAAACACTGTTTTATTATAAGCGCAGATGCGCTTCTATCCGGGGTATTACGGTATTTTAGCTGCTGGCTTTAATTGGAGTGGTAAATCACAGTACCCCAAGCAGCAGTGGTACGGTATAGTTGACTTCGCAAGTTTGCAGTGCAACATATGAAGGTATCCTCTGTCTGCACCCTGCATGCAAATCGACAGTGTCAATCCAGTGGGGCTCAAACCCACCGTGCTCTCTTGTTACACCAACTTCAGTGGCAGTAGTAGCAACACACTGCTACGGTCACAGCACACTCAAGTCCAGCAGCTTGAGTGCATGCACCCACACACATGGGCTGAAATACACTGTGCTCTCCCTGTACATGCGCATGTCATACCGTGTGCGCGGATACACCAAACCCCCTGGCAGTAGCACACTCCTCCTACCCTCACCGCACACTCAGAGCCAGCAATTTCAACGCATGCACCCACACGTGCGGGCTGAAGTAGACTGTGTTCTTCCCATACACGCGCACATCATACCGTGTGCACGGATACACCACCAAGCCTCTTAGGTAGCACCAACACACCCCTCCTACCCCTCACCGCACGCTCAGATCCAGTGGTTTCAGCGCATGCACCCAGACATGTGGGCTGAAGTAGACTGTGTTCTCCCCATACACGCGCCCATCATACCGTGTGCGCATAGACGCCCCCTACCCTCAATAGTAGTGGTAACAGTGCAACACCCTTCCTCCTTGATTACCGCATACTCAGATCCAATGGCTTGAGTGCATGCACCCACACGTGGGGGCTAAAGTAAACAGTGTTCTCCCCGTATGTGCGCACGTCATACCGCGTGCGCGGATACACCCCCTCCATGCACGCGCCTATCCCTGGCGCCAAGTCCTCATGCACCTCCACTGACACCACTGCCACATCATGCTGCCACTCTGCTCCCACTTCACCTTCTCCTTCACCCTCTTCTCTTTGCCCTCTCCCTCTCCCTCTCCCTCCCCCTCCCCCTCCCCCTCCCCCTCCTCCTCCCCCTCCTCCGCCTGCCCTGGCCAGGGCAGCGGAGCAGAACACCTCGATCTCAGCGCCTTCAATGTCAGTCTTCGCGTAGTCGAACCGTGGCACCTGCATGCGCTGCAGCAGCGACGGCACTGAGACTGCGGGCATGCAGGGGGAGGCGGGAGCAGGTGAGTGGCTGCCAGTGGCAGCAGCAGAGGATGGGTGAGACAGGGAATCCGTTCTGCTGCTGGATTTCTGCTGCTGCTGATCCTGCTGATCCTGCAGATCCTGCTGCTGCTGTACAAGCTGCTGCTGTTTCTCCTGCTGCTCATGTGCCTGCTGCGTCTCCCCACACGCGTGTGTCTCGTACGCCCAGAAGCCCTCCCTGCGGCCGGCTGTGACGGCTATCCGGGTGTCGTGCGACCAGAGGGCGGCATTGACTGGCAGTATCCGGGGCAGGTGCTTCACATTGCGCTGCAGCAGGGCGAAGTTGTCCCGTGCCGGCTCCACTGCCACTATCAGCGCACGGGGGAAGCTGCTTGGGGGAGGGGGCAAGGCAGGAGGGGGATAATGGAGGCAAGGAGAACGCAATGAGCAAGCAGCGCGAAGTTGTCCCGCGCCGGCTCCACTGCTAGTATGAGCACACGGGGGAAGCTGCTTGGGGGAGAAAAGTGGAGGGGAGACGCCACGCAACGGGAAGAGAGAAGGATGGTGGTTGAAAGAAAGAGAGCAAGAAATGAGTTGACGATGGTGGGGCATGTGTCAGCAGCATGTGCCATATATTCACAGTTGAATAAATGAATCACATCATACATTCATATCTAAATCCCAGCATACCGCAGGGCGAAGATGAGGGAGGCGAGCCCGATGTTGGCGCCCGCATCAAGGATGGCGGACGGGCGGAAGTGGGGCAGCAGCGAGGGGCGCAGGAAGCGGAAGGCGCGCGTGTCGAGCAGGTGGTACAGCAGCGCCACGTCGGACGACGCGGGGCGGACCCACACCGCCAGCTGGCAGCCAGCTGGCGAGTCGGAGCAGGGGAACCAATGAGGTGGCAGATACACCGCCACGCATACAGCCTGGAGGGGAAGAGGGAAGGGAGAGAAATGAAGGTTGACGGGCGGGAAGAGAAAATAAGAATTGGGACTGAAACAGAGCCAACACGAGAGCCAAGGCAGAAGCTCAACCAACGTATTTTATATATCAATCCATCTTTGCACCTTCCGACCTTCATCCTCCCTCTCACCTCCGATTCGTCCCCCGCAATCCCCGCTAGTACCCCTCTGCGCCCTGTCATCTCCGCTAGAAGCATCTCCAGATATCCGTGCTGCATCCACTTGCTGCCGTTCGTGCTGTACCACACCGAGTCCCCCTGAAACCCCTCCTCCGTCTCGCGCGCAGGAGCAGCGGGAGCCGGCCAGCCGCACAGCTCGTCACCACCTTCACGCTTTCCCTTGCGGTCAGAATAGGAAGCTTCGTCGTCGGCTCGAGCGGCGTCAACCGGTGTAGCTCTAGCCGTGGTATCAGCGTCAGCTGCGGCGCTCAGCCGTGATCGCGCGGCGGAGGCTCGCCATTTCGCCAGTCGCGCGTGCGACACTCCAGGCAGCACCTCGTCATCGCGCAGATCCCACGATGAATCCAACGAGATTCCGTCGCGGGTAGAAATCGCCTCGTCCGAAGAAATCACTCTTCCGAATCCTCCAGGAAGATCGTAGCGTGTCGAAGGTTTTGGCGGCGCTGGTCTAGAGTGTGGAATCACACCGCCAATGTAGGCTAGGGTACACACGGCGGAGAAAATGAAGAACCTCAGCAAGCAGGGGATGCGGGAAGAATGCGCTTGGGACTCAGTGCATGCGCTGACGCGCAGGCGAAGTGCGTGCGGAAGGCGGTTTTGCCATCGAGTGGCTCTTGGGCTAACCATTTGGCGGGATATGCGGCGTCATATTAGACGCAAGGAATCCATGAGGAGCAGGCGAGAACCACCTCCATCCCTGAATCTCGTTGATGGGCTAGTTATTTTACCCGTTCTGTTCGTGGTCTAGCTTTCACGATTCATGATTTCGAATTGGAATTCTGAAACATGCTCCAGAGATGGTTACAAGCGGATCTGCGACTATGATAAGTTGAAACAAGACGACTGTGGCGAAGAGTGTGAGTTCGTAAACCACGTCGTCGCTCATGGATTTGTTGATGCCGAACGTCCAAAAGCAGAAAGATACTGCACACCAAGACGGGTTACCACGCAACAATTGCTTGGCTGCTCTAAGTCCATTTCCCCTTGCGCGAGCAACCGAAACGGCCGTTGCGAAAAGGTCTGAAGAAGGTTCGCATGCCAAGTGCACCGCCTGTCAAGTGGACGACGCTTGGCGCAAGCGTCTGGGTCAGGGCTGTCGCTACAAGGGCAAATGCCCTTAATGCCCTGAACATTAAGGGCTGAGTTCGGCCTAGGTCCCTGAATTTAAGGGTTGAGTTTCATGTCAGCACGTCTGCCTAAAGTGCTTTCCTCGGGGCTAACCCGGATTTCAAGTACGAGTCTTGGGGCTAGCCCTTTCCCCTTCGAACTGATTCCCGCCGTACCTCCCTCCCCTCTCCCCACCCGCTCCATTTCCCATCATCCCAGTTCCAGGTGCAGTACTCTTCCCAGAGCCAGTTTCGACACTCTGCGAACTTTCGAGGTCAGGACCTAAACTGTTTTTTTCGAAATCAGAACCTGAACCGCGCAGGTCAGAACCTGAAGTGGTTCTAGTACAGACCGTAGGTTTCTGCGAGGAATGTCAGTCCTTGAGTTTTCTGTCCGCTAACAGCCTCAAGATCCTGCCTTTGGTCGCAACAAGGAAGGGGAATGCAGCGTAGGCCAGGGAGTACTTAGTGCTAGAGAGGTCCCAGAACCTGACCCTCACAATTTGGTTGGGCATTGAAAAACGAGGGTGATCTCTTGTCTAGCAAAAGTGCATGACACTTTGTAGCCCTGATTTCAAGTGCTGAGTTTGGCCCCAAAACGTAAATCTAAGGGCAAATTTCTGGGCAGCTCAGCCTTCCAAGTTCTGGCCCCAGAGCAATCGACAGCCCTGGTCTGGGCGTCACCCGTCACATCAAATTTCGCCAAGCACCTTCTATGCCAAGAAAAGTTGGGTGCGGCATGTCAGAAGGCTCCCACAAACCGAAGGTTAGGCTCGAAACCTACGTGCCGCACGTCTCCAACCAGGCCGGAGCTGCAGCTTTGGGAATGTCAAACATGGCTCGGGCTCCCCTTGGCGCGGAAGTGAGCTCTGGGGAGACGAGATGACTGGTGGCAGCAGTGCCTCTTGCGCAGTTTGCGGGCAGACAACAAAAGAATCAGCAGATGCGATTCGTCACTCCAAGCCGCAACCAACCAAAGGCAACAGCGAATCACGATGAACAATGACACTCAGAAATTCCTACCAGGCCATTTTCCGAGCCAGCTTAGAGCTATCAAACTGTTACCGAACCTGTCTGTTTTCCCGCCTCACATAACGAGCCTGCGCCATACGTGCCAACGAACCAGTTCGAGTCCGTTTCTCTGCACCTTGCACAGTCAGATCTGAAACACCCTGACCACGCAGAACAGTGCTGAACCGCACGGGTGAGTGGTTGGCCAAGCAAAGCGAGCACCCCGCCATGGCTTCCATTCCACACCACAGCTTTTCCTAGTCTCCTGTCGTTACACGCTCGAGAACAGGAGAGCTTCTCGTCTCTGCCCACTTGGTTTCAGAAAGACACTTGAGTGGGCTGTCGTTGCTTTCTCCACGCATCGGCCTCGTCGAAACTCGACAGGGCATGCAACATTCTCTAGGAATCAGTGTCTCCGCATCTCGCGTTCATGTAGCTCGCAAGGTCATGCTCGCGTAACGTTTGTCTCTTGAAGATCTCTCCGGTGAACTATCAGTTGATATCATAGTATGACTAGCAGAATGCGTAAGGACTGACGGACTGACGGAAACCAGCCTTCCATCCTAGAAATCAGTCCGTCGCGCCGCCTCTCGCGATGGACGACTCGAGGGTGGGCGTGCAGCGGAAAACCGGCCTCGCGCTGCACGGCCGCAGCATCAGCGCCAAGGAGTCGAGCCGCGTGCTTCACGCCGGAGTCCACGCGGCCGAAACCCTCAACAAAAATGTCGCCGTCTTCACTCACAACCATGCGTACAGCCACTACCCGCCAACGGACGAACCGAACCTAGCTTCGGTCGACTTCCGAGCCTGGCTCGCGGACCAGGTCAAGTTCAGCCAGAGCCTCGTCATCCCGCAAGTCCCGGAGAAGCCGAGCTTCCTCGAGTCGTTCGCGCCGTTCCGACTGTTAGGGCGCGTGGGGAGCAAGAAGGCGCAGTGCACGGTGGCGATGCACGTGCACGGGGTGGACAATTTCCCGAAAGACATGGAGGGGAAGGAGCTCGTTGTGCAGTGGCTGCGGCGCGGCATGTCGGTCGGCACGAGCCCCATGGTGGTGCACCGCGGCGTCGCGCGCTTCGAGCAGACGCTGACGATGTCGTGCACGATGTTCTTCAACGCCGGAGCGCAGGGGACGGTGAAGTTCAAACGGAAACCGTCGACGCTCTGCGTGCAGATGTTGAAGACGTCTGGGATTGGCTACGTCGCGGAGCTTGGGCGGCATTCCGTGGATCTAGCGAAGCTGCTGCCCGCGTCGCTGCACGAGAAGGAAGAGGGGCAGCCCATGACGCTGAGCTTTCAGCTCGCGGGATTGGCGGAGGGGGCCGTCATGGTCGCGACGTTCGGGTACGAGTTACAACTCGGCCGCGGCGTTACGTTTCTCGCGCGAGTTGACACCAAGTCGTTCCGCCTGTACGCCGCGACGGCGATCGCGGCGGCGGCAGCGGCGGTGTCGCCGACCAGCAGCCCTCCGGGGAGCCCGCAGGCGAGTCCCCGCGGCGGAAGCGAGAAGGACGAAGCTTCGCCGAAGCAGAAGAAGAAGCTGTCGTTCTCCCTGTACCAAGCGCCGGCGGATCGCTCCGCGGCGCCGCAGAGCGCGCGGAGCCAGGGGGACGCGCGCGGGACCCGCGCGGGCCCGCTGATGCGCATGATCTCGGGCGGAAGCGCGATGCGGACGGTGGTGGAGGAGGAGGAAGAGGAGGAGGAGAAGGAGAAGGTTGCGGTGAAGGATACGCGCTCGGCGGGGGTACAGGCGCGCACGGACGGCAAGGGTGGGGCGAGCGGAGGGGGAGCCGGAGGGGGGACGGCGGAGAAGGAGGCGGAGGGGGAGGGTGATGCGGTGGACTTGGCGGATGTTTTGGCGGAAGGGGAGGGGTTAAACGACGAGGAGGAAGAGGGAGAGGAAGACGAAGAAGAGAGTGATGATGAGGAGGAGGAAACCGATGACGAGGACGAGGACGAAGAGGACGACGAGGATGAAGAAGAAGAGGAGGAAGAAGGGGGAAGAGTGGAGGTGAAGAAGGTGATGGGGGGCTATGCGGTGCAGAGTGATTCGGGGGAGGAGCGCACGGTGCGGGTGGACCCAGGCACGGGCACCAGCAGCGTCGCCACCACCACCACCACCTCGACGACGACCACCAGTGGCCGCGACGCGTCGCTCGATTCCGCGAGTTCCGCGGGCGAGGGGGGGCGGTCGCGCATGGCGCAGGCGATGCTTGAGTTCGAGTGGACGCTGCAGGAGGAGCGGAGCGCGGAGGTGGCGGAGCGGAAGGGGGACGAGTCCGCGAAAGGGCTGTCTGGCGGCGACGATTACGGTTACTCGCTGGGGCGCGAGTGGGCGAACGGGGCTGTGAAAGCGGCGGGGGATGCGGCGGCGAATGCGGCGGGTTTGGAGGAGGAGATGGATCTGGTATCCGACGAGTTCCTCGAGCTGCTCATGCAGTCCGGCGCGATTGACGGCGCGCCGGGGAGTCTCGACGGTTTTGGCGGCGGAGAGGGCGGGGAAGGGGAGGAGGGGGAGGATGGGCGGGAGGGGGAGCTGCTGGGCGTGGCGGAAGGGCTGCTTAGCCCCGCGCGCCAGGCGTCGAGCCGCGTGGGCAGCAACAGTGTTGGCGCGAGTGAGCGCGAGTGGATGGAGGTTAGTGGAGAGGTGTCTTCTCACGCAGACGAGGATGAGGAGGAGGAAGAGGAGGAAGAGGAGGAGGAGGACGAGGACGAGGACGAGGACGAGGAGGACGAGGAGGAGGAGGAGGAGGAGGAGGAGGAGGAGGAGGAGATGGGTGAAGGCATGATGGCGTGCAATGGTGTAGGGCGGGACGCAGGGCAGGGGGAGGATGCGGGGGAGGGGGAGGGGGAGGGGGACGACGATATGCTGTCGAGCATGTTGCGCGAGGCGGAGGAGGAGCAGCAGCGCGCGGAGATCGAGGAGAAGAGCCGCCGCAAGGCGCGCCTGCTCGACTCGGAGGAGGAGGCCGCGCTCATGCTGCGCTTCCGCGGCAACGCGCCCGCCGCCGCTGCTGAGGTTCCCTTAGCTGCTGCCCCTTCTGCCGCACCTGCCGCCTCTGCTTCGGAACCCGCTGCGGCTGGCGTGCAGTCCGCAGCGCTGGTGGTGGCGGGGAGGGGCAGGGGCGCGCCCCCTGCTGCGGCCGCCGTTACCACTTCCTCGGCTCTTGCCGCGCCTGCGCGCAAGCGCTGGTCCACCGCAGGCCCGCTCGCCGTCGCTGGCAGCGGCGCGGGGAACGGCGCCGGGAGGGGCGCGGGGAGGGGCGCGGGCGCCAGTGGCGCGCTTGTGCCGAGGGTAGGGGGTCGGGGGGCGGCGGGCGGGGGAGCGGGCGGAGGCAGGGGGAGGGGGGGACGGCTGACGGTGCAGGAGAGAGTGCGGTTGATGGAGGAGAAGCGTGCGGCGGGGAAGGAAGGGCGGGGGGGGAAGGGGTGGGAGGAGGAGGAGGAGGCAGAGGCGGAAGCGAGGAGAAGCGCGAGCGTGGAGGCTTCCGGAACGTCGACTGCGCTCGTGCC